CCCCAAAACCCCAAAACCCCAAAACCCCAAAACCCCAAAACCCCAAAACCCCAAATACAGAGTAAGGGAATGATCTTATAATATTTATACAGAAATGAAATTCAGAAATGGCTCATTAATGAGTGATGCCAGATGAGAAGGAGGGAGAAGAGGAATAGGAAGGATAATAAGGGGCTTAGTAGGGTTTTTAGTGGTAAGGAAATTGAGAAGGAGGGAGTTGAGAGAGGATTAGAGCCTTAGAATGGTTTCAGAAGAGGAATTAAGTGGGGGTTAAGTGTTGGAATTCATTTGGAAAATTGGCCTGAATTGAGTTTTAGGGCATGCTGGTGCTTCCTATTATTAGAGCAACATGTGAAACTGACAAAGCACAGCCCGAGATAGCGGTTTATGAAGATGAATTTACTACAACGGCTGGACCTTATACTATATCCAAAGTATCATATGCAGCTAATATGAGTGCTTTGTTCACCTTTCAAAGCTTGACTGCAAACACTTTCACAGTGAGCAAGTTTTATTCCCTAAATCATACATTGAAATGGAGCAAAAGTTATTCAATAAACTCCACTGCTTCTCAATATGGAATAACCTGGGATGAATCCAACTTGTACGCAATAGAAGACAACACTGTGAGTGATGAAATCTCTATAATTCTGATGGAGCCTGAGGAAGGAAATATTACTGGAGTCTATCAGTTGTAAGTTACGCCAGAGCAAGATCATTTGGAATAAATTCGTCCGAAATGTTAAACACCTCCATTTTCGTATTTTTTACAAAATGTTAACAAATTATGAATATATGATTGGTGAAAGCTTTCTAACTCAGATGAAATTCTAGATTAAGTATAGGACAAGCTTAAATAAATTCTTTTATTTATACATTGTAACACAAAATTATTAGTATCATAAAGAAAACTTTAGTATGATAGGATCAAATCTCAAGCCAATTGCTTTTGAAAGTAAGGCTAGATAAATTATAGAATGGTATTGATTTTGTCCAGCTTTCAGCCTAGTTATTAAATGTATTTTCATTATGGCTATTAAATCGATCATTCATGCAGCCTTCGCCTACTATAAGAATTTAGAACATAATTTAAGCATAAGTTTACCCTTTCTCATAGTTCTTAATTCGGGGGTGTTCAACCAATATAGCTGTTCTCGAAAATTAGAGTGTTTTTGGTATAGGTATTAAAAGAGAATTTCATTTTTCATCAATTTTCCAATAAAATAATTTCTTGGACAATATTTAGGAACACTCTTATTAAAGTTGAGTTTAGATTTACAAATCAACTTGTTTAAATGCTTATGCTTATTTAGGCCAGGGATCTCAGAAATCTCTAAGTCAGATTCAAGCCCTCCTTTCATTTACTTTGATGCTAGAAATGGAACAGATGGGAATAGGATATTATGAAAGTTTACATTATATCTGAAAAAATTCAGATGAATAAGTCTATCCATGCTCACAGGACCTCTTCTAGCGATAAACTCTATTTACCTGAACGAGGTCTTCATTGTTGCCCAGACCACTTCAGATTTATACATGATGAAATTAACTCTTGGGGGTCCGAATGCTGTTATCGATTGGTGTCAAAGAGAGTCTATTACAAATGCTGATGTACTTACTGCCTCTTCTGCTTACAATGAAAAGTACAAGATTATTTACTCCTTTGTTTACTCCAATACTAATGCAAAAGGTATTTTTAGTGCTATTTCTGCTATAACAGGAGAAGTTAATATAAACAACACTTATGAGTAAGTCATTAATGCTTAAATCTAGGACTAACATTGCTCTTGACGATCAGAACTTAATGTTTACTGGAGATAAAACGGTTCTGCTCGCTCATCAGAAGAGTACTATTCAATGAGGTCACCTTGAATGGAATTGAAGCACAACAGGATGCTGAACAGGCTCTATTTGACCTTCTGCCTGTAATTGTACTTGCACACAAGGGACTTGTACTGTTGTCGGTGGTGGAACTACTCATTCGCCTAGCTGAAAGAAAAGCTGTGTACAAGAATGCTTGTACAATGTCACCAACTACGTCTATAAAATGAGCACTTTTAATATTACTACGAGTGATTTCAGGAATGTGACAGTCATGCCTCAGAACCAGAGTTTTTATTCCATAGCTTATGAACGGAATGAGGAGAGGTAGGATAACTTTTGGGGAGGATAGGATTGGAGTATAGGTTTGTGCTAGGAGGGATTAGTAGTGTTGGAAGTGGCGCATCTGCATCAGCAAGGTTGTTCAAGATAAATCCGGGTATGTTGTGAGGTGTGATGTATAGACTCTTTAACATGAGATTACTTCTTTGAGGAATCTGATGAGACTGGAATGGTTCAGATACAATCTCAGTTACAGAATGATACAAATTATTTCAATCAGACTGTATTATATAATTTCCACGACTCCACAAAGATGCCAGATTACCTTCCTACCACCCATACCTACAATGTAAGCTATCTTCTCCCAAATCTGACTGGAAATAGTTCAAGACCAAGAATGAGTCGGAGATTTACTGCAAGACTGAAAACTTCACAGCCTTGGATTTGGTCGAATTTGGCAATGTAAGTGGATGAGGGTCCCTTGGGGTTGTACTGTTCGTATCTTGTGGGCTGTTTTAGGTGACTTTGGGCATGCTTGGGACTTCAGGATTGCTCAGAAGGTTTAGGAAGGAATAGATTAAATTGCCTTTTTCAGAGTTTTGACGAAAAATTATGATTTGGTGATTGTTGTTTTAGAAAACAGTAACAGCTAATGTGACGTGAAGCGACAGTAGTCCTAATAAAGTGGAATCAGTTTCTATTACATTATCAAATGGGGATCCCAAGCCTAGTTGGGTAGACTTTTCCAGCTCAACTCTTGAAATGAACATGACTGCACCTGAGACAAATATCTCAGATGTGTTTAAGTTACTTTTTAAAACTAAGCTAACTGGGAAAACAGATGAAATCAATCAGTATTTTACAATTACTGTTAATGATGCTCCTCAGGAGCCGGAACCAGAGCCAGAATCTGAGCCTGAATCACCTTTGATAAGATTAGCCAAGCAAGCTTCATTTTGGGCAAAAGTAATGATTTTCCTGGGATCAGTTGTAAATATTGTAAACACGATGCTGGGTTCAGCTTCACCAGCTGCTATTTGGCAAATGATGAATCAGATCCAACTTTTAAAACTATTACTTCTTACTGGAGCATACCTTCCACCCGAAGCAATAGTTTTCTTTAATGGAATGGAGTTCATGTCATTCGACTTCAGTTTCATTAATTTTGAAGAACTCCCTGTGCTTGGATACTCTATCGATTACATTGACTTCGATCAAAATTCTAAGGAACTCAAAGACTTTGGGCTTGAATCTGGAAGCTCTCTTGTAAATAACCTTTCTTTTGTTCTATTCTTGGCTTTTATTGCAACAATCCACATCATCTTGCTCTTGGTGATAGCTATGTCTGCTGATGAGGGAAATTGGGCAGTTAGGCTTTTCAATTATACCACAACTAAGCTGAGAGAGATGTTCACCTACACCATTTACATCAGAGCGCTGTTCGAGGCATTTGTTTTGCTGGTAGTGTCATGACTTTCTGAGTTCTACTCAACAAACAGCCAAATGCCCATTTTTAAGTTGATATCATTATTCTTCTCTATTGGAATGACAATTTGTTTATCGATCCTAGTAATGCTATTCATCAGGCATTTACGAAACACAGATCCTGAAGAAAGAGATGAAGGTCCTTACAAAGAACTATACTGAGGAGTCAAAGAGTCCAAGCTTGCGATGACCTTCAATTTATTCTTCTTACTGAGGAGATTTCTGTTCGTTTTTGTGCTAATTCTATTGCAAGCTCTCCCTTTGGTGGTAAAGTTATCTCTGGTAATGGCTCTCGAAACCTGCTATATTGGATTTGTGGTAAGTCTCAACATTTAAACACTAAATATAGATTATATATATCAGACCATTTGAGAAAAAAGACCTAAATGTGGTAGAATTTGCTAATGAACTGTACTTCAGCTTTTTCCTCTGTTGCTTGTTTTCTTATAATCAGGAGGAAGACTGGAGTATCACGTTCCTTAAGATTTACCTCTATGCATTAACTGCAAATAATTTCACAGTAGTTGCAATATCGCTAGGTAAGGTTGATGCTATTACAGAATAAACTTCTTTAGGGTTTAAATCTGTATCAATAACAAAGGGTATAATTAAGCTAGTTCAGAAGTGCAAGAGGAAACCAAAGATAAAGCCAGTAAAAATATCCTAACCATGTAGACGACTACCAATCAAATAGATATAGATACTTTTGCTAGGAATCGTCCACAATTGATATCAAATTGAAAGGTTCCAACTTCAAAGGTATGATCCTTACTCACCTGTAGTTGGGAAGTTCTCCCTACTCTGCATATCAGAAGAGCTATCAGAATTCATGTAAGGTCTTAGTAATCAGTTTAGCCATTGGAGCTAGTGACATTAGGCTCGGGTCCAATTTCTAGAAGGGAACTAAATATCTCAGATAAAGATTCAATCTAATTTGGCCACTCTGGGGTTTTGGGGTTTTGGGGTTTTGGGG